TGGGATTTGAGGCTATATCTGGGTGATTTGGAGACCCTGTTCTTCTTTATCTCTCAGGCCTGTTCTGAGGAGCTGCCCCTGAAAGATTGAGGTACTTATCCCTCATCCTTTTTCTCTCCCCTCCCTTCCCTCCCTGGGAGTGACTGACTAATCCTCCTCTGCTCCAAAGGTGGCTAGAAACAGCTCCTCTGAAGGTCTTTGTCCTCATCCTCCTATTTGAGAAGCTTGACTGAGAGCTGTCATCAGGGAAGCCCATACATGCAGATGGATTCCTTAAACTTGAATTATTTATGGACTGTTGCCAAAGAGCCATGGGGACCCACCAGCCCCATTGACAGGGGAGGAGAGTGGTTTTCCATCTGTTCACTCAAAAACTCATTTCCGCCCAAATGAAAATATTTAATCAGAAGTCTTTCCTCTCTGTCTCTGCAACTCCCAAATCTCAGACCTTCTTCCTTCTCACAGAACTGGGTCTTGGAAGGTCTTGGGAATAGGGAAAAACTCTCTAACCATGAAACTTCCTACCCCAAAGGATTAGAGGGTTGTCACCTGCTCAAGAGGAAGTGACCCATTCTGCAGTGCAATTAAGCAGCTTTCTGTTCCCTGAACCCAGCTATTCTCGTCCTCCAGAAGGATACTGTAAGCATCCAGGGAAACCTCCCCCTGCTTTTTCAGACAGCAACAGGGACCTGAGCCCATCTTGTTGAGTGAAGAGACCATTGTTCTCTGGGAACCAGGCCCTGGGTTTTGAATACTTATTGTGTGCCAGGCACATCCCTGTCCCCAACTAACCCCCTCCAGTGGCTTCTCACAGTCCTAAGGATAATTTCTAAAATCCTTAATACAGCCTGCAATGCCCAGCTGGGCCCAGATCTCTCACCAGAGGGATTTCCTGTACTCTCTCCCGTCTAATGGTAGGGACTCCATGGCTGGATGGGGTGTGGATGGCTCTAGGAACCTTCCCCCAACAGGCCTGAGGTCAGAGCCAGAAGGTTCCTGTGGGGCAACCACACCTCAGTGACTGCCTTTCTCCCCAGGCCCCAGAGTTTGTGGGGTACAAGCTGTCTATGCCTGAGGCTACATCCTGGGTCTCTAAGACCCACGGGGGATGTGTGTGGGTGTGTGCATGTGTATAAGTGTGTTCATGTGTGAGTGTATAAGAGGATCCATGTGTGAGGAGAATGAGTGTGCAAGCGTGTGAGAGGATGTGTGTGTGTGTACACATGTGTGTCTAGGGGGTCCCAGGCTCCCTTCCCTCCCGACTGAGTTCCTGGACTGGCTCTCTGGTGTGGATGAGTTTCTTTCCTCGCCAGGCAGGGATGGCCAGACGTGGCCCCATTTGACTTCTCTGGATGAGGCATCGGGCCCATCCCTCATTCCATGGCCTCCTCTCCTGGCTTTGAAAGAGTTCTGAGCACAATATTCCAGGCAGCTCCTCAAAAGCATAATGTTGAATCATAGTTCCAAGCAAAGAGGTGGTTTTTTTTTCTCTTTTTCCTGATACCCATGTGGTACCCGGGTACCCCTTGCTATGGCTGCTCCCCTGTCCGGCTCCCCCAGCAGGATATGAACAAGTTATGGTCTAGGCTGTGCCAGCAGAGGTCAGACTTCCTGGGGTCTCTAGGAGAGTGCCTTTCTGGCCACCTGGCCCCATATCCTGCTTGCCCAGGGCTGCCTTGGCCACCCTTCCATGGACTCTGGTCAAGTAGCAGGTAGAGGAGAACAGAGGGGCTAAGAGGGGGGGACTCGTGGGCCAGGTCTGTGTTTCAAATTCTTCCTGTTTGGTGACCTGGCAGACTACCCTTCTGAGCTTCCATTCCTACAGCAGCGACATGAAAATTCTCATCGTTCTTCCCTGGTCGATAGATAGCACGGATACAAGAGACTGCAAAGACAACACCTGTGGGTGCTCAGCCCAAGACAGCGGCCCTCTCTGGCCCTTAACTGTGCTGGTCTCTCAGTTTGCCAGTGAGGCCAGGTGGCCCCTGTCCGCTGTCTGAGGAAGGCACACCCCATTCTGGAAAGGTTTCTGGGCCCCAATGCTGAGGGTCTTTGCAGTCCTCTCTACACCCCAGAAAACCCTATAGTCCTAGAGATGTGAGCAAGTGGAACCCCTTTCCCTCTGTCTTCTGCATCCTCTTCCTTGATTAGGGCTCAGCAGAGACCTGAGTCCCCTCCTTCCCTCTTGTGCTGCGTTCTGATCTCTGGATGGTACAGGGCACAGGACAGGCATGTCTCTCCCCTACTTCCCTCTTCCTGGAAGTTTATTCTCTGGATAGGAGCCCCTGATTGATGCTCAACCTGAGTCTCTGTGAGAAACTGGATGGTGTGAGGACAGTGAGGGGTATTTAGGACCCCAAAAAGGGAACTGGACCCTCTCTGGCTAGGAGGGAGGGCTGTGCATGGTTATCAGCCACAGGATTCCCCAGGAACAGTTTAGAGAATCAGATGGAGAGCCTCTTATTGGAAGGGGTGGGATGAGGGCAGACTAAAGATCATAAGGGCAAATGGAGGGGAGAGGTGGGAAGGACCTTAAACATACATTTTAGCATTTGACATTTTTGAAGGACTCCTGTTGTAAGAGGACAAAAAGATGAGGATGGTGGGAACACAAGGTTAAGAGAATAATTCCATAAAATGAGCCCACTGTGCTGGCTGTCCACATGCTTTCTTTGCCAAAAAGCAATCTGCCTGCAGTCCAGCGTGGCCCAAGGGGACAGGATATGTCACATTCCTCAACAAATTGAGGCAGGGGGTGAAAGGCCTGACAATCAGTATAGATAATGAATGATGGGGGTGAGAAAATGAAGGCTGGTTATCAAAGAAAAGACCATGAGTTGCTAACAGCTAACACCTCTGGAATCAGGGCATGGAGATTCCCAACACAAGGGATTACTCCCTGTGCTGCTCCTTCCTGTCCTTAGGCATCTACATGGAGAAGAAAAGAGAAGGTGAGGGTTCTGGGGTCGATAAAAGAGCAAGACACACCCACTTTTGGGGGCACCTAGCTTTGAACCCCACTACTCTCCAGAATAGTTTCTATCTCTCTGTCTTTTTCTTAAATAAAACTTGCTTTCTATTCTTGCTTCTGCAGTGTTTCTTGGGTGTTTGATCTTTAAAACTGGGGAACGAGGACCTGTTCCTGATCTCCGAGACCCGTGTCACTATGGTGATTTTTATTTTAAATGCAAGCATTTTTAAAAGGTATGCTAGCCATCTCTTTGGGTTTGATGTTGTCTTGGTAAAGTCCAGGTATGTGTATTTGGGGGGGGGCTTAAGGCAATGCACAGCTGTAGGATACCTGGCATGAGCAAAGCCAGTGTGGCAGCCCAAGCTGGTGACACTCTGGGAGGCAGGATGAGCTCTTGGAAAGAATCCAGGACTGGTCACTCACACAAGGCTAAGCTTCACCTCTCAGGACACCTTCTCCCCAGCCTTCTCCAGTTGGACCCTTCCCCTCCAGATTGCTCCTACACCTCATTTCATCTCCTCCCACTTCTGGTTGCTCCTGGGTATCTCTTCCTCTGGTCCCCACTTTCTCAGATACCTAAAATCTATCACAGAACCACATGCTATCATCCTTCAGGGTTCTCTGTATCATAGTCCATTGTGCCATTTGCTGACTGATGATTCTTTTTCCCTCCTGTAGGGAAGCTTCATGAGAATAAGACCATGTCTATCCCCAGGGCCTAGCATGGGGGTGTATGAGGATGGCCTTTAACAAATATTTGTGGAACAAATGGATGAGTGACTTTATTTGCAGTATTGGGGACTGAACCCAGGGCTTTGTGCATGCTAGGCAAGGGCTCTACCACTGAGCCACAGACCTAACTGGATGAGTGACTTAATGGATTGATTTAATGTGTCTTTCTCTAGACTGGAAGCTATTGAAGGGAGGATCTCTGGGTGCCTCATTCAACATTCTAGAATCAGTAATGGTGGACTGAGCTGTATTTTGCTGTAGACACATTATTGAATCACTAGGTTCATGAAGTGGAGTGAATCAGCCCTGGCAGAGTAGGGTGAGAAGAGGAAGGACAGTCCCATTCTCCTGGAAAGTGGGCTCACAGCTCCATGGATCCTGAGCATCCCTGACAGAGTGGTAGCAGTAAGGACAGGCCACGCTGCACCAAGCATTCTACATGGACCCCCATTTCATCCTCTTAATGGACCCAGGAAGCAGATGTGGCAGTCATCTCCCTGTTACAGAATAGCAGGTCCTGAGAGTTAAATGAATCCTCAAGGCCACACAGGTAGGGCACAGTGACTCCATAGTGACAGAATGACTCCCTGAGTGCCAAGGCAGTCTAGACAGCAGATAAAGGAGTGGGGAAGGGATTTGATCATGGATTGACACAGAGGGTATGGCATGGGAAACTTGGACTTGCTGTCTTGTCAGATGGTGGTCTTTGGGAGTCAGTGTGCTGGGGTTCCAGCCCTGGCTCAGCTATTTTCTGTGTTATCAGTGGTTCTCCCTTTCCTGAGCCTCAGTCTCCTCATCTGTGTAATGGGACCATGTGAGCAACCACTTCTCAGTGCAAAGACGAAGGGTCACAGCACAGAAGGGAAGATACTGCACAGTAAGGAAGGGAATAAAGTGCTGGAGGCTGGGGAATAATATTGGTCAAATTATATTGTTACATTGTGTTTATGCACAAATATGTAACAACAAATCCCACCCTAGGTCCAACTATAAGGCACCAATAAAAAAATGTGGGGAAAAATAACATGCTGGGGAAAGGGAACAATGAGGACTCAAACCCCCAGGTCTAGTGGAAGTAGAATTGAAAACAAGTTCAACAAAGATCCAGGTTCAAATCCCCACAAGCAGTATGGGCATCTGAGGGTCAACTGCTGGATCCAAGACCATCCCTCAGAGCTCCTTGTTGATCTGTTCCCAGGAAGACTTGAGGCATGAAGGAACGTGGAAGGCGGCCCCAAGAAACAGAACCCATCCCTCTGATACCCAGGCCAGCACCCGGTCCCATCCACACAAGGCATCTATTTCATTGGTTTTATTATTACAAACACACCATGGCGGACACACTCAAGAAATACGGGCTTTACATCCTTTTCTACCTGGACAGGGCCACATAGAAGCGTCCAAGCCACATGTGGATGCAAGACACATTTGACAGAAACAGTTCAACTCATAGCTTATAATGACGCCATTTCTCCAGCTGTGCAAGAGCTTTACAAAACCACGCCAGAACTCCCCAGAGCGCTGCACTGCGTCATTCACGTTTTGTGAGCTCCACAATGCTGCAGCCTGGAAGAGATTCCAGGCACTTGGCATTGGCAGGACATTCCACGTTTGGGGTAAGTCCTTTCTGGAAGTGAATGTCAAGTAATGACATCCAGATCTCTACCCTCAGTAGGCTAACAACCATGTGTAGGGGGAACAAAAAGTAAAAAGTACATATTTTCCCATCCCCCCACCCCAACCACCCAAGGCTCAGATCCCATTATGGTGCAGCCCAGGTGTATTGAAGTGTGATATTTGGTTTCAAAAACATTCAAATTGTCTCTTTGGCAAACTGAGAGAAATTGGCGGGAAGCTGGGAGGTGCATTCCTCCTGTGCTCCTTCGTGCTAATGCTTCATCCTTTCCAATAACCTCTGGTAGACAGGGGCTGTAAAAGAGGTTTGAAAAGTTAAAAAGATGCAGACTTTCCCTTGTTCATTTGGGGGCACTGTCAGAATCTTCTGGAAAGGGCCAAATGGCCTTCCGCCATGCTTTCTAGCACATAGCAGGTGCTTTTTGGTTTGTGAAACTTTATATCTTATTCAATGTCTGATGTGCTGGGATTTTCTACATCTATCTGCTTGGAACCACATCCTTACCATGGGCTCCTGCCAAGTCCCTATGCAATACTCCCAGGGTCCCAAAGCCAAAGCTCACAGCAACCCTAAAAGACTGTTATGATCTTCATCTTACAGAAAAGGAGAGGGCTTTCTGGGTCTGACCTCAATTCACCTCTCTGGTCTGAGCTCAAAGGTCAGCTTACTCTACTGCACCATGATGTTCTTATGTACATACAGTAGATGGCAGGCTTGGTCCTGATGGGGGTATGGCCCAGATAGAAATGCAAGGACTACAAATCCAGACCAGACTTACCTAGTCGCACAGACCTCTGGGAAGCCTGAAAGAGAACACAAGGTGTCAAGTTTTCTAGTGAAAATTATACCTGCACCTACTTATGGAGTGGTTTGGCCCATCACCATGCCTACTCAGAAAACATGCTGCAACGAGGAAGAGGAGAGGGAAGGTAGAACTGATGGGCCCCTGGAAGCCCCTCAGTAGGCCTCAGTGGTCCTTGTCTGTATAAGTCCCTTTCAAGTGGGGTCTTAAGTAGACATTCATGGGAGATCCCCAAGCCAGGCATTTCCATCGAGATCACAGCCTGGAGTTGGGGGACTGGTACTACTCCAGGTGGCTCCCAGGAGTGGGAGTTCAGCTCTAGAACCCTTCTTGAGGGCACTAAGGAAACACCTCTTTTCAAAAGTGAAGTGATGTGGTAGAGCTCCAGGCCTCTGGGTTCAGGCCTGCACTCCTAGCCTCTTCTCTTGAAATGTAAACCTTCTGTTTAGTGCTTCAGGTTCCCACAGGCTCCACCTGACCCAAAACAGCAAGGAGATTGTGTCCTGGGCCAGTTGGTGAGCAGTTGGAAAGGAAGCTCAGAAAGAGAGGTTCTGAGAAGGAGGCAGGGCTGAGGCCAGGGAAGGAGGCCCCCCCACCCACCCACATAACTGGCTCGGTAGCCCTTACCCAGGATCCACACACTGCCAGAGAGCCCCAACATCACCCAGAATGGGTATCCTATGGAAAATGGAAGAGCAACTCAGTGGCCCAGGCTCAGGGCAGGCCAGGCCACCCTAAGGTGACCTCAGTATGGGCTGGCATTGTTGGCCAGATGGACTCCAGAGTTTTTCTCACTAACAGTGGCTTCCTGGTGAACTGGGGTTCAGAGGCCCCTTTGTGGGCTAAAGTTCACAAAGGAAGCAGGAGCTACCTGGGTACTTTCTATGGATTCCACATCATCCAGGGCAGAGGATATCCCAGTGGATGTGGGGAGATATTTCCTAAAAGCTCTGGGAAAGTGGACAAGGAAGTCAGGATCTGGAAAGACCCTTCATGGACCCAAACAGGGGCCCCAAGGCTGTTCCAGAGAGGCATGAACCTAATAGGCTTCTTACCCTGGAAAATGCGGATGCCTGTTTGAAGATTTCCAGGGCAGAGTCTGCAAGCTCATCCCCTCGTTCCTGAGGTCTGTTGGCTGGAGAAAGAAAAAGCAGCTTTGGTACGCTTAGCCTGGCGTCACTAACAGCCATGAGTGACAGGCACTATTGGGCTTTCTGACTCATGTTTCCAAACAAAATTTTCCCCTATAACTTTTCATAACTCATTGTGGAATTTGGCCCCTGGGGGAAGAGAGAGCAGAGAAAGCTAACATGCACAAGTGAGGAGGGACAGGACTGAAGTCCAGTTGCCCTGGGGGTAAAGAGGCACTGAAGATGAGCCCTGGGAACCCTGCAGCCCACAGTTGCATGCATCACACAACTGGACCTTGTCTAAGAGGGGCTAAGACAGTGGGCAATTCAGCAAGAAGACATGTATCCACAAGTTCCTTAGTCTAGTGCATTCAAAACCACAGTTCCCAACTCACTTTTTAGACAGCCACAAGGAGCCCATTCATGTAGCCATGGTGGGAATGTCACAATTTCAGGTTACCTTTGTTTAGAACATTTTTCTTCTGTCACATGGAGAGAAGGAGCCGCTGCAGAGTCAGCAGCGATGCTATATGTTAGGGACTTACCTGGAGGCTGCAGAATGGTGGTGATGACATGGACCACGCCATTTGTAGCCATGATGTCGGCTTCCGCAACAGGTTCCTTATTGACATTCACTACATTGTTTTTCTAAAGGAAAAAGAGACAACAATAATAAAACAGAACAGAATCTTCTTTCTTTTTCTTTTTTTTTTTTTTGGTATAGGGGATTGAACTTGGGGGTGCTTAACCACTGAGCCACATCCTCAGCCCTATTTTGTAATTTATTTAGAGACAGGGTCACACAGAGTTGCTTAGTGACTCACCCTTGCTGAGGCTGGCTTTGAATTCACAAACGTCCTGTCTCAGCCTCCCAAGCTGCTGGGATTACAGATGTGTGCCACCGCACCCAGCCCAGAACATAATTCTTCTATTCATTCACTAAGCATTTACTGAACACATACCTGTGCCAGGCCCTCTGTTAAGTACTGGGGATACTCTGGTAAGTGACACAGTCCCCACCCTCTGCTGACCTTCAACCCCTGTCGTGGATTTGGCACACTGTGATTTATAAAATTCTCCTTTGTGTTATCCACTTAGTCCTCAAAAAACTTAGTTTTGTTTTTGTTTATCTTTGTGTCACTGGGGAGATGAACCCAGGGGCACTCTTCCACTGAGCTACATCTCCAGTTTTCTCTTCTTTTAAATTTTTTCTCAGGCTGGCTTTGAGCTTTCAATCCTCCTGCCTCAGCCTTCAAGTTGCTGGAATTCCAGGGGCATACCACCACACCCAGAGGGAGGTATTGTTGTCTCACTTATTGAAACTGAGTCTCAGGAGAGGTAAACTACATCTTTTAGGCCATGTAGGCGAGATAGCTGGGCACAGAAGCCAGGCCTTTAATTCTGGGCCAAAGGCCTGCCTTCCCCCTTCTTCCTCCCTTCCTCCCTTCCTTTCTTCCTTCCTTCCTAGGAGGCCCACTCAGGGAACATCTATCTCAGGCCTTCCTGAACCCATGCTCCTGTGACAGACAAGACCCAACACCTGAAACTAGGTGTTCTGGCTTGACTTGCAGGAGTCATACAAGTCACTCCCTATGTGTCTTCCCAGCTTCTAGGAAAAACTGGTAGTCAAGGGATGCCGAAGGCCAGGAGAGAGGATCGGGGGCCGTAGCCAGCCACACACAGAGTGATCCTTCCATGGAGAGGTCAGCAGCCTCTGCCAATGCAGCCGCTGGGCTGGGCTGGGCTGGCTATCAGCTCTCTCTCCAAGGCAGAATGGTATCAAAAACATGCAGAGCAAGAGAAGGTTCACGGAGCTGGCATCGGAACTGAAAAGTCCCTTGTAACAATCTGGTTCATGATGCAGCTCATGTTGGGGGCCAGCATAAGGAGGAGACAGATTTATCTCTTAAGACATATAGGTAATTCCCCACCATCTCCCCAAAGGGCCTCTTCAGATGCTTTATTCCCTTGTAAATCTGGAAGTTCTTACTCATGTCTAACTACATTCTCACTTCATTTCCCTGAGGACGCTCTTCTCTTTTTCTCTCGTTCTTGGGACAAACAACATTCAGAGACTCAGGATGCATCTTAAAGAAAGTATGTGTCACAGGCCATCCTGGGTGAGATGTGCCTTGGAACCTTGGAGGCCACAGCCAGCCTTTTGACTTGCTGGCACACTCACCGAGCTGACTTCCAGTTTGTCTCCTTGGAGAGACTTCAGCCGCACCAAGGCCCCAATGCCTCCGCTAACCAGGATTTCATCACCTACGTGGTATTTCAGGATGTTGGCAAGTTCCTTGGCATTTCCTGCAGGTCAGTGGGAAAAGGAGACAGAGTGAATCCCAAGGTTGGAAACTGCCTGGAGAGGTCAAGGACCCAGATGAGAAGATGCAAGCGGTCATCCCTGAGATGGAGAACTTTCTGCCCTCGTAATAAGCACTCATTGAGCACTCAGTGTGTGCTCATTCCTGTGACCTGCTGTCTGCCTAACAGTCAGTGGACACAAGCACATATCTATCATCATGAATCTGCCCCTGCAGACCCAGGGCTGCTGGGTTAAGCTCAGGCTCTCTCTGATGCTGAGCTCCCTAGCTGCTGAGAAGGAGTTAATCCATACTCCTCTGCGAGTATGACTCATGTTTCCATGAACTAAATATTTGCTTGGAAAGCCAGGGACCTTTCCAGCACTGGCATCTGGGACGATTCATCAGTGTGGCTCCTGATGTTTACAACACAGTAGTGAAATATTTACACATTCTGCCCTCAAATGCATACTGTGCTTGAGACGGCTGTTTCCTGAAGGGAGATTTTTTTAAAAGAGTCAACAGCTGCACTCTGGAGGCGCCAGGGAGCCCACGAGGTCAGGGCCAAGGGGGTATTCCCTCTGCCGCATCCCTCCTCGGCACGTCTCCACATTCCTTCCAGCCCACATCAATTTCTCCACCAACTGGGGAGGCATCTGATGGCTCATAAAGGTGAACAGGCCTTTCCCAAATTAAGTGTGGGAGGCAGTTTCTAAAACCGCCAGCTGCCCTCTCAACTCTGAAACTCCTGTTTCCAGTCAATGGCTGATTCTCCCAGGGCTCATGGGCAGCTATTCCCATCATCCTGAAACTGAGAACAGAGGAAGTTTTAAAGCCTTTTTTCCTGGTGGTACTGGGAATTAAACCCAGATGCATTCTACCTCTGTGCTACATTCCTAGCCTTTTTTTATTTTGAGACAGGGTGCTGCTAAGTTGCCCAGGCTAGCCTCGAACCTGCGATCCTCTTGCCTTGGCCTCACGAGCCATTGGGACTACAGGTGAGTCCTATCTCACCTAACTAGCTTTAAAGCATCTTGTAGACTTTACTTGGACAAATCTACATTAGTGCCAGGGGATGGAGTCATCTGCAGCTGCCACTGATGAGTTCCCCCTTCCACAAAATACTGTCGGGAGATGCAGAGCTAGGAGAACACCCCCCACCCCACCCCGTGCTGATGCCAGGGGCCTCCTTCTTTCCAGAAAGAGCTGGACTACACTCCATCTCCCAGGTCTGCCCATTTAGCCTGCCTGGGGTGGAGGTGAGGGGGCCGTGTTTGGGGAAGCTTTTTCTTGGCCCCTCCTCCACTCCCATACAATTGAAAATGAGAGGGAAGCCCAGCAGGCCTGGGCCACCTAGGGAATATTCCATTCTTGCCTGGCTGAGGGAGGATGGAAAGTTTATGTTGTGCATGAACTTCTCCCCTCTTCTCAGGAACATACGTCAGCCTTGGGGACACAGACATTCATTTAGCAATAAAGAAAATTAAACAGGACACAAATTTAGCCCAGAGCTGGCTGTAACCCGAGCCTTCTATGCTCCTGCAGGAAGGGAGGTGTAAACAATGTGTGTCTAGAGGTTTGGCTGAGGTCCTTCCTTGTCCTCATCCTCCTCCTCAGGCTCACCTTTCTGTGATGGTGGCCCTGCCTTTCAAGGGCATGCAACTCAGCAAAATGCCAAAGCCCTCCGTCACCACGGCTCTTGATTCATGATGTGCACCTAGCACTGCTCGCAGCACCCCACAGAATCCCCACAACACATCCAGTGAGGAAACTGGCTACCCTCATTTTTGTAATGGGAATACTGAGGCTCAGAGAGGTTAAGCAATTTGCTAGAGGTCACTCACCTGGTAAATGTCTGAGCCAGGATTTGAACCTGTTTTCAGGTAATCCAGAAGCCCAGACTTGTTACTGCTAGATTGCCTCCCGCACATCCTCAAAGACATTTCTCAAGGCTGTGACTACCTTCTTGGGAAAGCTTTTATCCCGAGGGACATTTAACACAAGTAACACAAGTAAATGGTCCCGTTATTGCTCTTCTCACAGGTCCCCAGTGGAAAACACACCCCTGTGACTGAGCTTGTTGCCATCCACACTCAATTTCTGTCTACCTGTCTCTGCCTAGTTTGGTGCCCCAGGAAGCTGATTCTATGAATGACAACATCCTGGCTCCCTCCTCCTCCTGTGATTGGCTAATGGAGGCCCAGCAGGCAACTGGGAGGAGAGGGAGCTAGGGCACTGAGCGGCCTCCCTTGCTATAAGTCCTGATAGTGGCTATGAATGGCTCTGCTGTTCTCAGCCCAAGGTGCAAGGTCTCTCTGGTTCTGCCCTCATTCCCCACCCCAGGCCGGGGTGGTGGTGGTGGTAAAGGCTTCCTTCTGTCACCAGCCCTGGATGGCATCATCCTTTGCTAGTTCCCTAAGCCCTGCCCTTTCTCCAAATGGGCTCATCACTAAATTCCTTTGAGTCAACGCCTTTATAACACACCTACAGTTTCCTTCCAGGGCCCTGGATTGTTACTTTAGAAAAGTGGAAACATGGAGTTAAGTTGGTTTTTACCCAAGAGTTTGTTCAGTTCTTCTGGTGGCATGGCTTGGAAGGCTTCATTTGTAGGAGCAAAAACTGTGTAAACCCCTTCCCGGTTGAGAGTCTCTGTCAGCCCTGCAGACTGGATGGCAGCTACCAGCATGCTGTGGATACACGCAAAGGAAATGTCACCCACCTGTGAGGGATGAGTTGGGAGGTTTTCTCCAAATACCTCACTACTGGGGATAGTAGAGTCCATACAACCAGAATGCACGCACCTTACTGTTTTTGACACCTTACTGGATTTGACATGCTGTCTATGCAAGAAAAGGAAACTGGTTCATTCTGCATCTTCTCTCCACCCAGTATTAATGTCATGCTTGGTTAAATGGGCAGAGCTCAGGGACCAGAGAGGGAAGGAGGGAGAAGACAGGTGGGAGACATGGTTGACCCAGGGATTGACTGAGCCACTGGGGACTAGGTATGTGATTGTGGGAAGGGAAGAGGGATGTGTCTTCCAGATCCTGATACAGACAGCTGAGAAACTCAACATGACAATACCCAGTGGTGAATAAGCAAGTCAGAAATGGAGAGGGCACTGGGGACATTGGTTGCCAATAAGTAGATACTGCACAGAGAGGCAAAGACTTGTCTCCCCCTCAGAGTCCTGTGCTGTCTGTACTTACGGATTTTGCAATGAGAAAGCAAAGTTTTTCTTGTGCTTTAGTAATAAAAACATAGTCCTCTGTCCACTTCCCTTGATTATAGGGATTATAATCCCCAGAGTAACCTTTCTTTTAAACTTAAGATTCCAAGGGAAAGGACCCTTATCCTTTCCCTACCCCAAGTCTGGATGGTCACACCAGTATACCACTACTGTTAGCTGAAGCTCTGGGGAAGTTGAGGTACAGTGTCCTGCCCTGGCACAACCACTTGGCAAAAGTCCCACCCTGGGATGAGACTGGTTACCTAAAGCGACTGTCACCCTTCAGGATGTCCATGACGGTCCCCATGGGAGGGGTCAGCATCCGGTCCATGGTGAACAGGGACCCATACCGCCCCCTTTTGTCGTGGGCAGCAATGCAGCTGTTCTCGATGCACAGGCTCTGCAGAGAAAGACAGGGCTGGTCATCCTCCCAGGGCCTCCCGTCTGTTCAGGGTCTGTGCTGATGGCATCATCCCAAAGGTCAGAAAAGGTGGGATAAAATGACATATTTTCTCCAGGAAAGAAAACAATACCAAACAGTCTTCCTCAAGGAAAGAAAGAGCACAGAGGTCCCAGGAAAGTCACCCAGGGGACCCATAATGAGAATATTAGTTACACTTGAGGAACATGGACCATGATCAAATAAATAGAAGGAGGCCATGAGCTTGTTTATTTAACAGATGACAACCATCTTTAGTTAAATGGTGCTGGTTGGTCCCAGGCAGGAGCAATGTTTTGCCTTTTGATATCCCAGGGTAGTTGTGGGGTTTGAAGACAAATAAGAGACCAAGGAGGGCTGTTCAGGGGGCTTCTCTTCACATAAGTAGAAAGACTCAAAACCTTCATCCTTCCTCCCACATGTCCATCCCTCTGAGTTCCAGGTGGTCTTACTGTTTAACAATCCGGGTCAGACAGGTGTGTGGCTTATTCTCTGAGACCTTCAGAAAAAGAGGTTCTAATCTTTCTCCAGGAGCTCACTTACTATCCTATACTCTGCAGAAATCACTTCTTTCCTTACTAGAAACCAGTTCTTATGCCAACTCCTGCTTATAGAGGACATTGTAAAAACATGAATACAACTTCCATTTCTTAGAATTGAGCCAAAGGAGGATGATTTAGGACCCAGAACTTACATTACGATAGACAAAAACTCTCAGTTTCTTGCCACCCAGCGTGTCCAGGGTCTGACCATGGTACAAATACTTGGAGGCCACTTGGTCTTTAACTATGTGGTTCAGAAGCAAACTCCTCGTTTGGGCATCAAGGCGAGGGGTTCCATCTATAAGAGAAGGTGGGGTTACATCCAGAGAGCCAGGCTCCTTAGAGGACCAGAAGGATGAGAGACAAATGTGGTGAAAAGCTGATCACTCTTTTGAGTTTGGAAATGGAGATTGAGAAATCAAGCACGGCTGCCAATATTCCTTAATATCTGGCATCTTCCTCAAAGAAAAAAAAAAAGCGCAGATAATGGAAGGTGTTTGGAGTCTTGCCCTAAGTGGAAAAGAAAGGCATGCATACAACTTGTTCCCCTTCTCTGCCTTCCCCATGGCTGCAGCTCAGCACTACCTTCATGCTGACCACCCACCTATGCATTGGCATTGGCCTTACAGACAACAAGGCAAGGGAACGTGCTGCTCTCCTGGCAGAGGTAAAATCTGGACTTCTGAGAAACAGATCCCCAAATGCACCCTCAGCCTGGCCAAATGCAGAGCGAGTCTGAAGTTTCTGATGAAGCCACATCTGTTTTCGATGGAGCTGGGTGGAAGGTCTAATGGGTCCTGCAAAGCAGGAGAGTGTCCTGGAGGTGACAAGTGTGTGTGTGTGGCTGCCCCCAAAGATGGCCCAACTGGGGCACTTTCCCCATGTTACCTTTGAATACAGAATTCAGGGGGGCCAGGAGGGTCACCCGTTCATTTCCGGAGAGATGTGTACCGAGGCCTGCTTGTCTGAAAAGGTCAACGGCTGTGGAAACGTCAGACTCCGCAGCCAATTCAAACAGCGTCTTGGCTACGGGAAGGAGAGAGTGGGTTCAAAAGTTAATAGTGCTGTTTGCACTTGGCATCCGTCCACCCCAGAGTGTGACATGTATCAGCAGGAATGTCATCTCATGAATCAACAATCCTCTAAACACTGCAGGGCCCAGTGGGTTTGTGTCACCAGAAAACTTAACCTAGGGGAAAATAGGTGAGCTTCAGTTGGGCACAGGGCAGAGGCTGCCTCAGGTGGCTTCATCAGGGCTTCTCTGAGGCTAGGCAGGCCACATTGCCTGTGTGGTGGCTTCTGAAGAGTACACAAGGGTCATGACCTCTCCTATAGATGGAGTTTTGTCTATAACTGTGAGATTCCTTCACCCACTAAATAGGACAAAGGCAGTGACCCTGGGGTAGCTTGAGCACTATTGATGAAGCAAATGCTCTGAGGTCAGCAAATGGTCCTCTGTGTCCAACCACAGTAGGCAGATCTTCTGAAACGATTCCAGGATTGTGTCTCTCCTTCCCCATGTACTTTCTCAATAGGTCCCCACTGCCTCCCAGGTAACATCAAGACCCCCATACCTGAAGCGAAGTCTCCTTATAATCTGGCCCCAACCCACCAGTTTCCAGGTGACTGTAAGACTACAAGTTACGTACAGGCAAGGAAGAGGCCCAAAGGATCCCTGAATCCCTCAAGCCCACCTCCAGGGACAGCAGGGGTGGTAAACCTGGCAGAATCAAGAGCCCTGGAGGCCTGGCTTACCTGAATCTGGGATAAGCAGCTCATCTATGAAGTGGATCACACCATTGGTGGCCAGGATGTCTTTGTTGGAGATGATGGCCTTCCCATTGATGGTGAGCATGTCCCCGCTGCAGCCTACCTCCAATGTGGTGCCCCCCAGAGTCTCCATGGACACCCCCGCAATAATAGCCTCTGCACACATGGCTGACTTCAAGATATGGTTGTTCAGCAGGTCTGGGTGCAGAAGAGGACACAGGTCAAGAAAGAGCCTGCTCTAACCCGACTTCAGGGCCAGCTGGCAGTCTGCCCATGGCTGTGAGCATTCTACACTTTTGGATAAGGACCTTCAGATAAGAGTAGAGTGACACAGGGCCCAGATTCTTTCTCCTCCTGCTGGCTACCCTCTAAACTCTATCTGGGGCTCTGGAGTTAGACTGCCTGAGTTTGAATCCCATTGCCACGGGCTAGTTGTGGGACCCTGGGCGAGCCATTTAGCCTCCTTGGGTCTCATCTTCCTCATCAGTCAAGTGAAGTCAAGAAAAGCATTTGTCTCCTAGGCTACTAAAAGGCTGCCATGCAATCTGAAGCCTAAGAACAGAGGAGATTGTTAAACAACGTTCCCATTATCTTGAGAGCACTCGAATTCAGGGTGGATTCTCTATCAGGATCCGAACTTCAGGGGAAAAAGAAAAACTCAAGTGAGACTATCATGGGATTTTAAAAACTACTAACCTTTATAAAAATACAATATATGGCAGGAAAAGATGAAAACTGCAGCAAAGGACAGTTTTTATACAATTCATTTGTCTGGGTTTTTTGTTTATTTTACCCAAGAGTCTACTACTAGCTGCCAGGATCTGTCTTAGAGGTGTGCATGGGGAAGAGTAAGACATGGCCTTGGCCATCCCATTTGCCACACCTGCAATTAATAAATATCATTGTTTATTCACTTGTCCAGGTGCTACATTAGGGGCAGGGAAAGAATTGGGTTCCCAAGAAGTGCTCCTAAGCCCATCATGGCTCTTGCTGGCATTCATGACCTGTAAACAGAGGTGGCTATAAGGGTGGTCAAGGAGGTCACACCTTCCCCCCCCCAGGCCAAACAGGTTCCTGGGCTGCTGCTCTCCAAGATCGCCAAGGCCCTCTGTCTTACAGTCTCACCACAGAGTCTCAAGCTGTCCCTCAGCGTGGGAACCAAAACTGCACTGTCATGGAGAAGAGGAAGCTCTGAGGCCCTGTAGAGGCTTTGGGCTGCTGGAAACGGACTTTGAAAGCCAGTGCTGACCCGATTCAGCCAGAGGGGAAGAGAAAGGACAGCAAGACCCCATGGGAATGAGGCCTTTGGGGACCTTGCATCTCAGACAAGGAAATTGAAGCTCTGGGGTGGGGTAGGGGTGAACTTCTAAGGGCCAGGAGTAGTAGTCAAGCTTCAAATGGGACATGCCAGCCCAGGGTTGCTTCTCACCTATCAGTCAACCTATGTAGTAAGAGCAGGAGACCACTGATGGTAGGCCCATGGCCCTGTTCCTTCAACTCTGCAGCTACAGCAACAGAGAGCCCTTTCTTTGAGAAAACCAGTTTCCAAGCAGAAAACACCAGATATGCAAAACGCACAAATTAGCAGTCATTTTTTCTTCTACTTTACAGTAAGGAGTTCTGATATTTATGAAGATATAATAATGCTCTGTACAAAAGATGTTTTAATGGGTACTATAGCTCTATTCTGGACCATTTCCTGAAGACCCAGGTGTTAAAGGCTTGGTCCCTAGGATGGCATTATTGGGAGGTGGTAGAAATTTTAAGAGGTGGGGCCTAGTGGGAGGTCTTTAGGTCATTGGGGGGTGGGCCCTCAAAGAGGATTGTGGGAACCTGGTCCCTCTCACTCTGTCTTTTTTCAGGTGAATGGCCCCAGAGTCATAGGCCCAAAAGCAATAGGGCCAATTGACCACAGATAGAAATTTACAAAACTAAGCCCAAAGGAACCTTTTTTCTTTATGAGTTGATTATCTCAGGTATGTTATAGTGATGGAAAGCTGACTAACACAATGGGGGACATAGTTCTCAATGGGAAGCAAACCATCTTGAGATGCCTGTAAGTCTCCTCTCGTTCAGGAAGACTTCAAGACCCCTGAACCTGTGTAGGCCCCATCCCAGCTTCATTCCCACAATGTGTTGAATATCTCTGTCATTGAACGCATCAGATCAGATCCCAACAATATGTTTTGAAGCCTGCCACTAGGCTTTAATGTCCTTGATGGCAAAGACTGGGCTGTATTCACTTTTGTGACTCCAGGATCCAGCACCGTACAGGCATCTAGAGGCATCCTAATCCTCTGGACATACCACAGATCCCATCTGTGCTTTCAGAAATGTGCTCTTTCCTATCCATGCCCAGCCAGGAGGAGAACATTTTAAATTTATAGTGTGTCTGAAATGCATGAGGCATGTATTGTAAAGGTAGGTTTAAATAGATTCAAAAGAAATGAAGTCATCCCTAGATTTTATGTTTGGGAGGAATTGTGTGGTTGGGGTGCACAGGAGACTTGGGGCCTACTTTCTTTTCCAGGGCATTTGGGACTGATCAGGAAGCTTACTGCTCATGACCCTTAAAAAGTACAGAGTTGAGCCAGGTGCAGTGGTGCACACCTGTAATCCCAGTGGCTCAGGAGGCTGAGGCAGGAGGATTAGCAAAAGTGAGGCATTAAGCAACTTAGTGAGACCCAGTCTCTAAATAAAATACAAAATAGGGCTGGTGATGTGGCTAAGTGGTTGAATGTCCCTGAGTTCAAGCCCTGGTACCAAGAAAGAAAAAAAAAGTACAGAGTTGAGGACTATGGTTATGGCTCAGTGGTGGAGTGCTTGCCTAGCACATGTGAGGCACTGGGTTTGATGCTCAGCATCATATAAAAAAACAAATAAAATAAAGTTATTGTGACCATTTACAAACACACACACACACACACACACATATACAAAAGAAGTACAGAGCTGAAAGGGATCTGGTGGGGGAATGCTTGCTCCTTCCCTCCCCTTGGCATTAGTTGATGCCCACCTAACTTAGCAGCTCACCAAGGAAAGGATAGAACCAGCAATGAAGAGTTAATATAAGAAATAGGGTTTTTGTTGTCGTTGTTTTGTTTTGGGGTATCAGGATTAAACTCAGGGGCACTTGACCACTGAGCCATATCCCAGCCCTATTTTGTATTTTATTCAGGCTGGCTTTGAACTGGGGATCCTCCAGCCTCAGCCTCCCAAACTGCTGGGATTACAGGCACCCAGCAAGAACTAGGTTTTAACTGTAGCTTACCCATGACTAGACAGAGGCAGATTTCCAGGGTCAGCATGGTGATTCTATTTTCAGGATGCCATTACCTGCTACCCCATCCCACATCTCCAAACTGCCTATCCACCGGGCAGCCCTGCTCTGGTCTTGGCCACATGAGTCTTTTGCTGTGACTGGCCAGGGTCAGCTGTGACTTCCAGCTCTGCCTACTTCCCCAGCTCTCCACAAATGCTGTGGGGTTCTAGGCTCACCCCTTAAAGCCAGGGAGGGGGCTCTCTGGCTTCTGCAGAGACACGGCTAGACAGAAACAACACAAGCCATGGCTGTGGTGGTCATTCTGAAAGACCTCATGACAGGCAGTGTTCCTGTCTTGAAGTAGAGCAGGTCTTGGGCTCAGTCTGGCTGCTCAGCAGTTGCTGGAGCTAATGATGCTCACCTCTCAGAGCCTCAGGGTCACCCAGGATTCGGTTCAGGGTCTCAGCAGGGATCTTCTCAAAGGCCTCATTGGTTGGAGCCAGGAGAGTGAACTGGCCGTCACCCTCAAGCACAGTGTTGAGCCCTGATGCGGCTACAGCAGCCTGGGAGAAAGAGAGAAGATGACGTACTTTTTGGAGCTCTGGGCTCTTCCCAGCAGGTGAACACACAGACTTGCTAGTTCTCTGTTGGGAGCTGGAGACTTTTATAGAAGCCCAAGGTGAAGAGAGAAGCTGATCTGGATATGGTGGCATACACCTATAATCTCAGGGACTCAGGAGGATGAGGCAGGAGGATCATAAGTTTAAGGCCAGCCTCAACAAATTAGCAAGACCCTCAGCAACTTAGGGAGACCCTGTCTCAAAATAAATTAAAAAGGTAGTTCTGTGGTAAAGCACCCCTGAGTTCAATCCCTAGTGCAAAAAAAAAAAAAAATGGAGAAAAGAGGTGCTGGACCAAACCAGGCCTCCATGGGGGTCCTGGCTTGACCCCAACCATAGGGCCATCTTTCAGGTACTACTGTACATCTTCCTTCCCACCTCCAGGTTGTTCCCTCAGCCCTTCCCTCTTTCTTTGCTTCTTTGACTTTTATTCCTTCTTCAGGTCTTGTCTGAAATACCCTTTCTTTGAGAGGTCAACGTGGCATTCCTCCCAGCCCGCAAGCCCCCAGACAAAAGTTTATCTGCCTGGTACTGACGTTCTCATCGCCTGTTGCCCTTCTCCCAACGGTAATCCCATAGTTATTGGTAATTACTTCTGTGAGCTCCAGGAGCATAAGGATCACATGACCCATTCTTTACACCATAGCCAAAATGGCTCCTAAAAGCCTGAGGGCATCCTGTCCCTCTCAGGATGGAGCCAGCCTCCTGTCCCCTCTGCGGGGTCTGGCCTGGCCTCGCTGCATCCTCTTGCTTCCGTTGGGGTGTCACTCTGGCTCTTGTGCCTCTGCTTTGCTGTGCCTGCTTGGAGCTCTGCTCTTGCCTTCCCTCCACTGGCCGTGCTCTTGCCTAGTGTTTTGTAGAACAGGCCCATTATGGTCCTTCAGGCTTCCACTCTGGTCATCTCTTCCAAAGAGGCCTGCCCTAGGCCTCCTGATATTCTGCCCACCACCGACTTGCTGACCTCACCCCCTGTTCAGTCTGTGGCTGCCTTGTTTGCTCGTGTGGACTGGTTAACACAACAGAGAATATGAGCAACCCCAAGGACAGTCCACTCTATACCCCAGCACATAGAACAATACCCGGAAAGTAGGAGGTGCTTAGTAAGCATGTTAGAAACAGGAAAGATGGCCATCAGGGAGGGCAAAGGGGAAAAAGCAAGGGAGGAAGATTTGCCAAACCTAAAGAGTAAGAGGGCTTTCAACAAGATCAACCATTGTTAATGAAAACATATGTCGCTAACTTTATAGTGACATCTTTCCCTTGCAGATTCCTGCCCTTTGGGTGACCCAGAAGAAAGGCAGGGGAGAAGAGTATAGAGTCACAGGGCCCTCCAGAGCCAGCTCCAAGCCATCCCCACTTGCTGAGGCCCATCCACTCCAGCCGGTCCCAGTGTGTTTGTCTCTCTGTGTTGGAGATCTCCAGGGAGGGGCGGCCCACTCCCAATTGTATCCTTTGTGGTTAGGAAGTTCTTCTTGAATCAGAGCAAAAACCCTGACGGGGCAGCCTGCATTCACTTCCCCGAGTGGCCACTGCCAAGAGCAACACCACTCATCCCTTCAGTTGTAAGACAGATGCCTGCTGGGCATGGGGGATGGGAGCATGTTCTTTTGGCCTCAGACCAGTCAGAAGCCAGCCCAGGAGTCAGACTCTAAACTCCTGGTAGCCTCTGTGCTTGGTCTGGGTTTCAAGGAAACATGGGTAGGACTGGAACAGGGCTCCCAGGGTGGGAATGGGTGGTCTACACAGCCTGGCGGGCCATTATTCTGGTGTCCCCATGAGGAAGCCAACATCCGGGAGGAAGGGTCCTCCCACCTCTGGAGCCCACAGTGGAGATCCAGGCAGCTCACAGCTCAGATCTCCCCATCCTGCCTCAGTCACAAACCACTGAACCTTCCCAGGTAGCCAAGGAAAGGAAACTTTCCAAAGGAGAGGACAGAGAGCAGGCATTCCACAGCTAGGCCAAGCTGGGCATATGATTATTGGATTCTCCATGTTTCCCACATGAGACATCCTCTGATCTACCAGGCCTCTCTTGGGAAGCCAGGTGTCCCCAGCCTGGGCCTCTGCCCAGGGAAGTGCCTCACCCGAAGGGTCTCAAAGGTGTCCTCAATCTCAATGATCTGTTGGATGTTGTTGGTGATGGTGGAGATGACCTTATCGATGAGGTGCACCACACCATTGGTGGCGTGGTGGTCAGCTTTCAGCAGCCGAGCACAGTTGACAGTTATAATCTGCCCAGAGAAAAAGCAAAGACAAGTGGTGAGCAAAACAGAATCAGGATGTGGAAGCCTCAGGAGGGGAAGATGATGTTTTCACACCCACCCACTGTGGAACCAGAGGATCTAAGGAGAAGACCCAGGAGGCCAGGGGTTGTAGGACAAAACCCCAGAGAGTAGCCCCACATATGGGTCAGCAGTGGACAGAAGACAGTGCTGTGTGGCTGGGGATTCCCGTACCCCATTGGGATAGTGGTGGATTTGGATGTTGGAATTCTGGTACATGGAGGTGAGGGCCATGCCATGCTTCAGCTCATCAGTCAGGACCCGCCTGTCCACCATGTGGTAGCGGAGGGCGTTGAGCAGCTCAATGTTGACATTGCTCACCAGGGAGTCCAGCACTTCCTGGAAGGAAGAACAATGTGACAGTTAGGAAGCTGCAGACCCCATGTTCAAGGGGTGGGCCCTCATTCCCCTGGGAAATATGCTTCCTAATCCCCAAGTAGATGTAGACCTCACTCCTACCAAAGAGACCTCCTCCGTGAACACCAAGACGGGTCTGTGCCCAATGGGACAGATAGGACACTGTAAGAGACTTGGTGAGTCCTATTTAATTTGTATCTGTGGGGTGAAAGGTAAAGCTTCCAGAAACAGTAGGATATTGCTTCAGATCCTATTCTCCATGCCCAGACCTCTCAGAATAAAGCAGTTCCCAGGAAGAGCCCCCTGGGCAGAAGGAACAGCTCACCGCTGGCAAAGAAGCCCAGGCCTCGTTGCTAGGGGCGAAGATGGTGAAGCTGCCTGGTCCCTCCATCTCAGGCCTCAGCTTCTCTGTGCGGTCCGTGTACAGCTGAGTGGTGGTGGATCCGACAACTCCCAGGGTCTCGTAAAGGTTTGAGAGGGGAAGGGCTGCAGGGATAGAAGACAAAGGAGGGATGGGCCTCTGCAGGGCCACCCCAGTCAGACCACCCCTGCCCTTCCTTCTCTGCCAGAGAGGCCTGGAGATACATCTGCAGGTGAAGAGGGGTGAGGGAGTGGGTGGAAAAGCCCGAAGACAGTCTATTGCTGGGGAGCTGAGAGCTTAAAATAACTCAGTAAGTAGTCAAATGCCTCTCTATGTGAACTCAGCTAATTGGAAATTTCTGATCATTTTTTTTCCCTAATCATTTTAAACACAGCAGAGCACAGCTTTTTTTTTTTTCTTAGACATTTAGATAACACAGGTAAGAATGTACACCAGAAAGAGAAATCCTAACTACACACTAGTTTTACAGACTTGTCTTCTTATTGAAACTAGTTTCCTAATGGCCTCTACTAGAAGGAAACAACTATAAATCTTTGAGAGGTATTTTGTGTATTTGCAGGTAATAAAATCCTTCTTAGACAGTGAGCCTAATGTTCATTTTAAAAGATCTAAAACTAGGGTCCAGAGATCAAGCTCCCCCTTACGGCCTATCTCCTTTTCCCAACCACTCTCCCCATCCCACCTAGTCCTTCTACTTGGGTCATAATGACATGCTCCCCACACCATGCCAACAACATCCTCCTCGTGACCTTGGCACTGACCATGTTGCACGCCCCCCCACCCCCACCCTTTAAATCAGGTTCACATTCTTTTTTTTTTTTTTTTTTTTTTTTGTCAAAAAGGTCTATTTTGTTGTCTGTCACTGGAATCTGGAATCTACATTTTATGACTTTGATCTAGTTATGGACTCTCATGCTCAGTATCACACTGCTTTTATCATCATACTTTTTTTATTAGCCATTTTTCAGGTTCATAATCTTAACTTAAAAGTAACTTATTTTTCAAAGTTAAAACACAAACTCCTCTGCACAGTTGCTGGTAATGTGTGACACTAAAGAAGAGACTCTGATCAATTTCAAAGGTGGCATCCTGTCTTTGGCTCAGAGCTGCCAATCATGGTATCCTTTACTGACTCTGGGTGAGCCTCCTTGCAGCTCTGCTCACTGCTGAACTCCAGTGGGCCAAATTTAGACACAGAGTGGGGGTACCCTGGGTTCCCAGCCCAGCCAGAGACCAAGTTATCCCATCTGACCTCTAGCAGGATCTGATCAGAAAGCAAAGGGCTGCCACACCAAATCTGCTGAATGCAAAGATAAGAGGCCCAGGAGCCTCCACTTCCTAAAGAGTCTGGGCAGGCCAGAACTGGGTTCTGCTCCACTAGTTTGTTGAAAAGTAGCTCAGGAAATGCACTATTTCTAGCTCCTATCTTCCACCTCTTGCATGGAACATAAAGGCCAGTGACACGTGAAAGAATGGGAGAATGCCAATACACCCTCCCCAGGGACCCATGTTCAGACCTTGTACACTTTTATATGCATGCTCCTCTCTCCTTACTCACCCCTCCAACCACACCCACAGGCAGGGCCTGGCTTATTACCTGCAGGACAGCCCTTCTCTCCTGGGACCTTCTCATATCCAGGACAGCACTCATAGCTGATGACTCTGTAACAAGAGGCACACACATGTGTCAGGCAGGGCTTCACTCCTCCTCCAGCGCCATCAGTCTCTCTCTCCCAGCAAATCACCGAATAGAAGAAGAGAGATCATGGGTACAGCATCTTCCTCTGAGGAGGCCACTTGCTAGATCATAATTACCTTTCACTGGCAAGAAGCTCCTCATGTCTCCTTGGCCTTATAGAATGTTCCTGAAGGTTGCCAACATCTACAACAAACCAACTAGGAAGCCCAACTAACTCAGTATATTCAATAGTGTAATTAGAAAACACCAAGAAATTTATCTCCAACATGCACCAGAAACCAGACCAGTTCCCTTTCCTCCCTGGGTCTCAGTTTTCTCATCTATAAAATGCACGTGTGCATGTGTGGGTGTCACTGATTAAATCTCTCATGCTCTTCTAACTCTGATTTAATAACCAAAAGTATAGGGTATCTGTGATCATCAAGTTTTTCTCAGTTTCTAATAATCAAATTTTAAAATTTAAAACTAAATAAAACTAAAATAAAAGCAGAGCTCCTCCTATGAAGTAGTCTTTTTTAAAATTTAAAGCTAAAAATGTTTTAATTGATAAAATGTTTTTATGGTTTCAAACTGAAGATAAACAAAGGATTACATAGCAAAGTGTTCCCTACCCACCCTCCTCCTTCAACCATGCCTCGTCCTTCCATAAAAAAATCCATATTGTCCATTTGTAAAATTCTCTGCATTTGGATGAACATAAGACTGGTAGTGCAGTTTTAATCTTTGAAACAATTTGTTCAAGAAACTAAAGATGATCTCCTTTCCTTCAGACCACCCTATAATGAGACATTGATTCTTGTGTGGGGATCTGAAAGACACAGCTTCAGAAAATGTGATACTATGAGGAAGCCACTGGACTTCAATAACATTGCAAGGAAAAATTCTGAAAGTCTACTCCTAAGAAAGATCTTGTGGAGGTCACACCACAGCGCCAGCCAACTCTCCTTAGCAGGCCTGGAGCCAAATGCAAACAGCACGGACTCCCCATGCTTTCCCTTCTTTCTGATACATCGATATGCCCTTTGGGACAAGAGAGAGGTTAGACTTGAATTGCAAAGGGTTTTATCAGACTCATGCAGGATGCTTAATGACATCACCAGAAGAGAGGCAGATGGATTGGGAAGAAATGTGGCTTTGGGGCGCTGGATTAGACTCTCAGTGCACACTGAGCTTCCTGCTCTTGTGAATGCAACTGGAATCAACTCAGGGAAGACTTATCAAGTGAAGATGAAGCCTGGTTCACCAGTTATCCAGGAGAATGTTTCAGATTCTCAGGATATCAGGGAGTTATAGGTGCCACTTTTAGCTAGAAATGGGCCCCCAGGGAATGACTGAGGATCCACAAGTTAGAAACATTCTTCTCTGACCCATTTTCTCCATTCTCCTTTTGTCCAGCCCTTCTGTTCCTTTCTAACCTTGCATCCCAGCACTTACAAGGCCCAAACATGCTGTTCCCCAAGACTGACCTTGACCCACCCACAATTTTATCTTCAGTTCTAAAATTGACTCTGCAACTAAAATAATATTTCATTGACATACAATTTGTAAAGGCAGTGTAGTTTAAGAGAAACCGTACTAGAATCAGGGGTTTGCATTGTGATTCATTGGTAACTAGCAGGGTGACCTTGAAAGTCTATTTCTCTCTGGTCTCAGTTTCCCCATATACACAAGGTTAAACTAGATGATCTCTAAAATTCCTTCCAACCTCACACTCAAGTCTTCTACTGGGTGGGCTGATTTCTATGGGACAGAGAGCCACTCCCTCAAAGAAGGACAGTGTCCTTCAATCCAGGGAGAGCTCCAAGCTTTGATCCTATGCATAAATACTAGGGTTCAGTGACTTCATTGGGAAGAAATGGAGTTAGGGAAGTAGAAATAGGTCATATCTCTCCACACTTAGTTTATTTCAAAAGTTATCTGTTATAAAATTCCATGGAGTTGGAGAAGGACAGTTGGAAAATCTACCAAGTCCTCTGGGCCCCTGGTGAGCATGGGTGCTATACACTCTATGGCCTGAAGTCCCCCATCAATCTGGCCAAAGACTCAAAAAATGTTGGCTTCTGAGTTACATCTCTGCCCTACTCCCCAGGAAAACAAAAACACAGGAAAGACAAACAGCTCAGGTAGCTTCACAAATGGGAACCCATGATTCCTGCAACAAGGTATGTGTATTGGGAAGGGGGCACATATGCACATGTGTGCAAGTAGGATGTGTAGGGAGAAAGGGGTGCTGAGGGGCTGGGGGGAAAAGGTCAGAGGTGAGCAGAACAATATCAGCAAGGAGAGGGTTAACAGGATTAAATAAGAGTGTGAAGACATGAATGGTGTGATTCTACTTTGTGTATAATCAGAAACATGAAATAAGAAGTGAAGTGCATTCTTCTGTCATATATATAACAAATTAGAATAAATAAATGTAATGAAAAAAAAAAGCTCTGAGGGGTGAATGGGTCTCTTGACATGACAGGTGGGTCGAGGCAGTACTAGGGCTCTCCTCACATTGCACCAAGTCAGACTCTTTTTCCATTGCTCTTGTCAATGCGCACATTTGGCAAAAGCAGAATGATCTGAAACTCTGACATCTGGGGGACACAGTTGTGTCTCCAAAGCAAACAAGGTTAACTTCCGTCAGCACTCCCTGTGCTTCTTCAGGTGGGCTCTCTGCACCCATGTCTCATGGCAGCAGGACTGTACTCTGCTGTCACATGCGGATGGCTTTGACAGCAAGTTCCCCATGGTAGAGACTCAGTTTCTGAGGTTGCAAAGTCTCCCCCAGCCAAGATCTTTTTCTAGTAAACTGAGGACAGCTCTCAGAAGGTTTCTCCTCTTCCCCTTGCTCTGTTGATCTCCCTCTCCCCGGCCCTCTCTGGGCATGCAAGTGTAGGCCAGGACACTCAGCCTGGGTATGGCAGGCTTATGACTTGAGATGGTTCTACAGCTGCTAGTCTCCTTGCTCTACCTGTCCCAACAATACTGGCCCTTTCCAGAACCAGCCTGCATGACCCCAGAGAAGCAGAGAGCAGCTGCAGGCCTCAGACCTAGAAACGGTCCATTGGGACGATCCCCCCGAAAGATTCTTGGGTTGCTGATCTGCACAGCAGCTTGCCCCGCCCTCCCTGGGCCCAGTGGGCTACTCCATGTGGGCTCTAGCCCTGGAGAGAACACAGATGCTGCGGAGAGACAGACAAGCAAGAGCCTGGATCTAATGCCATCCCTCTAGGATGAACACAGAGAAGGACAGAAACCAGTGGGAACCTACAGTTCCTAGGTGTCTCTGAACAGCAAGGAACTGTTGGTCTCTGAATCTCATCTCATCAGCCAAAGCTGCTCTTCTCCTATCTTGTTGACCAGAAATAGTTTCTAATAACTAAAAACCTCAGGTCAGAAAAAGCAAACTCTCCAAGGCAACAAGTTACTAATTATCTGGTTCCAGTTTCTCAGGACAGAAGAATAAGTTGCAGAAGAAAGTGAGTCAAGGTACCCGGATTAGAAGGGTATTTAAAGTAGCAGGCCAAAAAGATAGTGTCTACACAGGGCCTGGGTTTAGGGATGTTTGGGAAGCTCTCCTCCATCCCCTGTAACTTTTTCACATAGAATGGGACACAGAAATGACCAGTATTTCTCTTCCCAAAGTAATTTTCCACAAAGTTAATATAAAGTTAAAATAATCACTCTCTCCCAAGTGCGCTTCACTGGGTGTAAATGCCAAGGAATTAACTAGACTTGTGGAGGAGATGGAGCAAGGAGTGGAGCCTGAGAGCCAGTCTCCTGTGACAGAAGGTAAACTATTCTCTGGGTCACAGTTTCCAACAGGAATCTCAGAGCAAACAGAGTCACAGCGTCTAGACATGGGGGTGCCCCGCGGACTGCCTGCCTGAAGTGGTTTACTTTTTTCTGCATTCCTGGCCTTGGAAAGGAAGCTGAGCTGATTCTTAAGGTCCCCAATAGAAAATCAGAGATTGCTCTGAGCCACCTTCCACCAGCAAAGGCTTCCAGCATCCCAGGAATTCACCAGCCTGGTTAGTGATTAGGATGAAGACTTCAGAAAATGGGTGTATGCAATTGTGGTGATTTGTGTGCGATGTGTGAGAAGACACTCCTGGGTGTCTTCTCAGTTCTCATGCCCGTCATCTGATGAGGGCTACTGAGGAGCCTCTTGCAGCAAGGGATCACCAAAGCCACCAGATTGGAAGTGACTCTGGGCCAAAGGGCTTCTCTGATCCTGAGGAGGCTTTGTCTCTGGAACCCACAAACACAGTTTTCAGGGCTGTAGAGAGAGACCTGGGCAGTTCACTCAGGTCCCACAGGCATGCTCATTTGTATACCTCCTTTGACACTAGCTGCTAGGCTTGATTCTTCCTAGGGGCAGCACAGTAGAGTGGACAGAACTGCCCCATTTACCAGCAGATGACTCTGAGCAGGATGCTTAGGCTTGCTGGGACTCAGTCGCCCCATCTACAAATGAGCTAATGATCACATTCTATTAGAACATAGAGTATGAGAAGCGAATGAGTTTTCATACGAGAAGCACTTAATGGATACTTGCTGTCAACTAAGTGCTCAGTTGTCCAGCTTCTTCTAAAACAAAACATTCCAAGTGTTAACTTTAAAGTGGAAGCTAGGATAATAACTTGAGGCAAAGCAATATCCTACAGTGAGCTCACTGATCCAGTCACATTGTAACAAATAAATCCCCATAATACACGGGTGTAAGGCTTCTATTAGTCTCCCATAGCTTACTGTAACAAATAACCACAAATGTAGTGGTTTAAAACATTACAAATTTATTATGTTACAATTCTGGAGGTTAGAGCCACTAATCAGCCTCATGGGGCTAAATCAAAGGTTGCATTAATTCCAGAAGCATTAGAAACTCGGTTCCTTTCCATTCCCAGTTTCTGGAGGCTGCCGCATGCCTTGGCTTGTGGTTTTATCACCCCAACTTTCCACCACATCTTCTCTGACTCTGAACCTGCTGCCTCCCTCTTATAAGGACCCTTATGATTTTATTAGATTCACCAAATAATCCAGGATAATGTCCTCCTCTCAAGATCCTTTTTTTTTGAAATGCATGAATACATTTATTAAAATTATATGTTTTAAGATCCTTAACCACTGCTGCAAAGTCCCATTGTCCATGTTGGGGAACACATTTACAGGTTTGCAGATTAGGATGTGGACATCTTTAGGGGTCATTTTTCTACTTTTCCCCAGGGCTTTTGCCCCAGGTAGTAAGTATGTGGTTCATATAAATTCTCAACAACACGAAATTTCAAATCAGCTAAGCAGCTTCCTAATTTACAGAATGTTCTAGAATCTTCAGGAAACACTGCTTAACAGATGTGATTTTGGTGTACGTCCAATATCCCTGATATGAAGCAGATCATCCATGGGGTCCTAGATGGTTGTTTGGGGAATATGAAACAGTGCTAGGGTGGGTCTGGGGACAGCCTAAATGGCTTCCCACCATCTTCTTTTTCCTTTGGGACCAAGTTACGGGATACAGAAAAGAGAAGAAGACTGGCTCTTCTCCAGTTTCATGTCAGATGTCTCGGCGTGCTTTGCACAGAATGAAATCTACTGAAAACAGACCTGCCACCTGATGGAAGAGCTCAACCTTGTCCTGGATGGCTTCAGTAAAGGTGACATTTCTAAGCTTTAACACAATGCTGAACAAGTATTGCAATGTAGCCCCTGGGCAAAGCAACACTTGCTACTAGAAAACCAGCAGTATCCTGCCAGCCCATCTTGGCTCCAGAGAACTGCTTCTGCACTTGTGAAATGTGTTGCTTATGGAACAATTTCAAGACTTTGGAATGGACAGCTGCCATCCCTACCTGCCAGCTCCCTTCCTGTGTCACATTCATGATGTCTGAGCCCCTGCTATGTCTGCGACATCCCCATGACGTCTGCTCTGACTTAGCTATTAAACAGATCTCCCTCTCTGCACACACACACACACACACACACACACACAGACCAGTACAGACACAGCCAGACTCCTGACCACAATTTCCTGCACCTTTGTTCAACCTTCCACATGTAAGAATTTTATTACCAATCAAACCAGGGCCTGAAATCACAGAGGAGGATGCTGTCTATTTCCCATAACCCTTTTTGATTGACCATTGTTATCACTCTAGTGCTCCTTAGGATCTGAAATAAAAGCTAAAGTGAGTTTCTAAGGAATAAAATGTACTCAAGTCTCTAGGTAGGAGCCCACTGGTAACTACTTCTTGTTATAAAATGTATATGTTGGCTTGACAGATAGTGTCCAAATCTCAGATTCTTCTCTTTGGAAATACAGAAAAGCTCTTGTCTGAAGACATGAGGACAATGCTGAGTGTGGCCTATCCTCTCCTCTCCAGGAAGTGGAGTCCAGGGCCTCCCAGCTGCAGGCAAGTGGGTTCAGGGTCCTGCCTCACCAGGCCTGTCCTGTGTCTCTCTGTTAACTTGCGTCACAATCTTCACCCTTGTGCTTGGGGCTTGGTGCTGTTCATTTGCTTTCAAGGTCAAATTTTCCTTCTGGCCTTAGGTCCCCTGATGACCCCTGTTGCCTCCTCCCCCAGGCCATTTTGCTCTTTCATCCCAACACAACTGAGTCTTGCTGGGAAAAGGCCCAGTGCTCATGTCAGCCCCACTCTAAGATGGTTTTCTTTACTCCAACCACCATGCTCCCATGTCCCACTCAGTTCCTCATCCAACTCAATGCACGAGGGACCTACTCCCCCCAGGGTGACATTAATTCCAGCCAGCATGCACCCCACCCCCAGGACCCACAGCACTTAATTCATGGTGGTCAGATGGCAGCTCCCTCAGGGGTCTGGGTCTTAGATAAACAAGTTCCCCCGCAAAGCTGCCCTTAGCTTTCAAGGACAACAGAACTGAGCTCAACCTCTTCCTCTTTTCCCCTCTGCTTTTTCTGGTTCTTCTCCAAGTCAGCTCCACCTTTCTGATGCTGCACGTGATGTTCCAGGAAGGGCCTGTCTTGTCCTGGATCATGAAATTTTACAACGACTCTTGTTTTTCTCTCCTCATTTCCTCTTTTCTGAAGCTACTCAGAGCAACAGCCACATTCAAGAGCTGAATGTGAACATCTTTTCCCTTTGATTTTCCTTTTCCTTTTCTCTATTCCCGGGCACCCCTCTGTGCTGACTGGAGTGAGGGTTCTGCCCAAATTCCTCACCACATTCTCAAAACCAAACCTGTCCCAGAAGGCAAGATTATTGTTGGGAGTGTTTTGTCAACACGTAGCTCTACTGCTTGTGACTTGTCCTGGCACACGCACAGAGAAAGAGGAGAGTGTTAAGAGCCAATAAGCCAACGTGACTCATCCTCCACCAGCGTCAGCCACGAGCTGCCCAGGAAAGTTATCAAGCTACTGTTAACCAGTTGGGCAAATGCTTCAACAGGGGGGCATCCAAAGTGCCACCCTGTGGCCAGCTTGTCATCACAATTGGATGACATGTTTAGAGAAACTTCAAATAATGAAAATATGGCCTCATCGTAACCCAGAGCTGTGAGATGGAGAAGTACTCTTGGCACAGGTGCTTTGGTTATCTTCCAAGAAGCAATTATGTGGGGCCTGGCTTTGTGTTTAATTGAGTAATTAATTGTTTGAGTAGATAATGTACCCATATGAAAAAAGTCAGTTGGTACTAGTGGTATTATTATTTTTGAACCCAGGTTTCCTCTACCACTGAGATACACCTCCAGTTCTTTTTATTTTGTATTTTGAGACAAGGTCTCACTAAATTGCCCAAGCTGGCTTCAAATTTGCAATCTTTCTGTCTCAGCCTCCCAAGTTGTGGGGACTATAGGTGTGTCCCACCACACCCAGCATTATTATTATATATATATTTAATTTGGGCATCAGGGAAGAATAGGCTAGGCATAGAATCTGCATAATCTCTTTTTGTTCAAAACAGGAAAAATTATTGCTGAGCTTCTGTTCACTGAACCTGGAGGGTGTATCCTTCTAACTCATGCAACTCTTTTTAGATTTCAGGTGGGACTCTCATTGGCAGGGAGCCAGCTGCCACAGACATGCCCCAGACAGGCTCCAGGGAGAAGCAGCTCTTTCCAGCTCTGTTCCAATTCCTGATTTCCCTTGATTCAGACTAGGATTGATCATTGCCTCACATAATCAGGGCCACACATTGGGATATTTATTTCCATGTACATTTTAAGGAAAGGGCATTTCCCTTTCCTTTAGTTGATTATTAAATTGGAAGAGATGGTTACTTGAAAGCAACATCAAAGCAATAAATTTAAAAATCCATAAGAGTGAAGAAGTCCAAGATAGTGGCTTAGAGTTGCTTAATCCTCCTATTACGCAGATGAGAGGAAGGTCAGACCCCTACAAGTGGAAGTTTTGCACAGCACATCTTCCTATCTGTAGGAGAGAGCCAACTTTGACAACTGCTGACAGTTAGTGCCCAAACAGATTAGGTTTCCTCAGAATTCTGTTAGAATATGCACACTACCCTATTTCCACCAGGCGCTGGACAGTAGGGATGAAGGCTGCCTCCCTTTGTGCTTATACAGGAAACAACAAGCCTGATAGTAACGTCACTGGAATATAGCCTATTGTCACTTTTCCATCTGTTTGTGTGGTCTAATTTGCAAATTCTGTTGTAATGATAATAGCAGCTAGTATTTATTGAGCTGTTACTATGTGCCAGGCACCATATTTGTTCTCTTATGTACATTATTTCATTTAATCCTCATAACAAAGCCATAAGGCAGGTCGTTTCATTATTTCCATTTTACAGAGGAGACAGCTGAGTATTCTAAAAATGAACCCTGTCAAAGTTAGGGTCTAAGCCTATCTTAATATTGGGGGCCATCTCATTGTGGGCACATTTCTAAGCAACCTAAATCTTTTTGAGGTGTTTACCTTAGGACAACAGAGTAAGAGTGGGCTTTCCTATCAGTTCACCAACAGATTTTCTTTCCCAGAGTGACACGCTGGTGGCCTCTCCATGGACTTTCTGAATCATTTAGTGAAGATTTGGAAACGCACACACGCATGCACGTGCGCGTGCACACGCACACACACACATACAATTTTATGCTTCTTGCAATTCCAAACTAGCCCTGAAAGATGTATTAAAGTGTTGTCAGCAGCCTTAAAATGCAGAAAAAAATTGGCCAGGTTCCTAAAAATGCCACTCCCCAGAACACATTCTCTGACACGTTTGTACATGCACCTTCATGGCTCTTTAGGCAGCCTGACCTTTTAGAAGGTGGCTGGCCCAGCCCTGGGGGCACCTGTGGCTGGCACACGTGCAACGTGGCCTCTTTGGTCTTGGGTATTTGCAGATACTCACGTTGACTTGCCACAGATCTTCCTCTGGTACCACTGCTTGCAGTTGGTGAAATACTTCTTGTTGGTGCCAATGAGCTTCTGCACAGCACACACGTTGGGGCTGGAAACAAAAGCAATGGTGTTAGTGAGGTTGGCATGTCCATCACATCATGTAGGTCTTCCCAGTTCATCAGATGGAGGACAGACAGCCATTTCGGTCTTGGCAGCAGGGTGGATTTTGGGGTAGGCTTTGGACCTGTCTACCTAGATTCCCATTGGTCCCCATGAAAGCTTTCCATCAAACAAAAAATTGCTTATCTATCTCACACATTGATATAATTTCATGTAACTATCCTTGGCATGGGCAATGGGTCAGTGTAAATAAAGGGGTCGTAAATGTTTTAGATGGCATGGTATAGATCCAAAAAAATAGCAAAGTCAAAGTGGCATGTTTCCTAAGTAAAGCAGCTTTGAAAGACATCCCAGCCATTCTCTGCATCTGTACTTCATACTGAGCCCAAACTTGACATCCCAGTGTCTGTCACAGGCTCTGCAATCATGAGGAGAAGACCCCAGCATCCCCCTGGCAGCTCTACATATACATATACTCATTGTCTAGACCAGCTGCCTGTCTCCCCAGTGATGACTCATCCAGAGGACAACACTGTAAATGAGGGTACATGGCAAGTGGTACATGACATCAAATAGGGGTGTTCTCCTACTTAACTCTTAGTTGTCGACTACTTAGACCCCAGTTTGAGTTCCACTTCTCCCCAAAAGCCTTCCTCCACTGCTCCATGTGACACTCTTCTTTACATTCTTTGACCTGGGATGCAACTTGTTTGATGCTGGTTACCAGAAACCCTATAGCTGATGTGCGATGGATATCTCCTTTCTCCAGCTACCCTCAAAAGAACCTCGAAGGCAAGAGTCCTGCCTCTTTCTACCTTTGACATTCTGGATAGAGCCTGGCAACCGGTCAGGTGCAGAAGCTTGGAATAATCTTGTTGAAAATACTTGTTGAAACGCCTGACCCAGCTCAGAAAGACCTCAATGACTGGGAAAGCAAAGTGCAAATTTCCTGGGGTTTTGCCTAGAAGGCTCCTCCAGAGCCACAGGGTTTTGTTGCAGGGTATTTTATTCTATTGTACCATCTCCTGATCCAATAGAATAGTGCTCAGGCCATTAGGAACCCCTGGGGTAAGGAGGCTGCTGTGGCTGCATGGTGACATTTGGGATGGGAGAAGACGGGGAGGCAGGCAGTTCATCTGACTAAATCATAAATCAGACAAAGCAAAGAAACTACAGCTGAGGGTTTTCACAAGACATCAGTGCTCAGAGAGCTTCAGGTGTCACCCAATGAATGGGTAATTACTTCAACATCAATTTCTTTGTGACTTTAAAACTGTAATCCACAGGTACCCTTTCATATGCACGATATTTTTCAGGAAAACCCTGATTTTTGCAGTAAAACTAGGCTGGCCATCCCACTATTGGGGCTGCTAGAATTTGATCAGCTCTTAAATATTTAGGTTATTGGGTGATTGTTCACTCTGAACCCTTACTTCTTTACCTGTCTCTTTTACCATGTCACCTCTTATCCACATTTTAAAATTATTATTATTTTTGGTTGTCCATTGACCTTTATTTTATTTATTTATTTATCTGCAGTTCTAAGAATCCAACCCAGTGCCCCACATGTTAGGCAAGCTCTCTACCACAACCCCAGCCCCTTGTCCACATTTTTGTTCAATAAGCAGAGGTGAGTGGGCCACGAATGCCCAGAGAGTATTAGAGAAGTAATGCAAGAACCAGATAGGGAACAAAGCTGAGGGAGAAGAGAACGTGACAAGCCAGCAGGAGGGCAGGTGAGGGCTGCCTTACTCCCAATAGGATGTCACTAAATGCCCCCAGCAGATTTCTAAACACCTTGCTTCTCTGTTTGCTCTCTGGGATTCACAGGTTAGACAGTCCCTAAGTAACTCCTGAAGATTCCCAGACAGCCACACTCCAGCCGCAAGTTCTACTTATTGTTGAATAATCTGCAAAGTTCTCCTATCTGACCAAGCAGGAAATAATTACTGTTGATGAATTCCCTGCAACTTTCTGTAGGTGTTTGGCCAATCTTCATGAGCCTCTTATGGATGTGGCTCCTACATTCCTCTGCAGAGGGAGAGTTCACTGCTGCTGCCCTGTGTGACAGAAACAGTGGTTGGGGCTGCTGTGACCCTCTCTTTCTCATATCAGGCCTGTATGAGCTGTGCACACAAGAAATGTATGCTGTAGTGCAATCAAAAAGAGCAAGCCATTTCTGGGCCTTCTGCCTGAAGAATAACAGAGCTGCTGTTCAACTTGGACTTGAAAAACCAAGTGCTTTAGGAAGATCACTCCAATTTTTGATCTGTGATATTTGGAAGTGTGGCTGCATTTCTAACTTCTCTTTCAGTAGTATTTTTCCCCCTTCCCTATAGCAAAAGGCAAACCTGGGAGCCAAGAGACCCCATTACAGAGACTACCCTCCCAACAGTTTTCTATGTTTGGATAAAGTCACTCTCTGTCACTAAGCTGTAGTTTCACCATCTGTAAAATGGGAACATGTACTGTGGGGAAGTTGAACACAAAAGTTGTGGTAGGGAGAAAGCGCTGCCCGTGAGCAGAACACTGACCATTTCTCCCTTCATATCATGGAGCAGTCTGCATTTCCTTAAACTGGCAGAAATGTTTTTCTTCCCTTTTCACCAGTTCTCACTTTGAATAAAGGGCTGGAACTTGAACAGGGTTATCCATTTGCACAGGGTGCCACACCCATGTGTGCAGGGCCAGGCAGTCCCGTGGTATTTTCAAGGGATGGTTAGATCAGGGTAAATGCAAGTGTGCCTGCAACCACTTTGCCATGGTGCATGCACACGTGTATCCAGATTTTAGTGGGGGAGGGAGTGCTCGTGTGACTTCTTGATCACTGTGCCCATCACAGACAGATTACTATGGGTTTTTTCAACTGCACTGCAAGAAGTTAATCAAGAGGATTAGCCTGCAGGGGTATGGCAGGGAAGGTGATCTACTATCTGAAACTCAATAAAAAGCATCTGTATTTTTTTAAAACCCTATTTTCCATCCCGTCAGTGTCTCTTCTGGCCTCTGAAGGGAAGTGGGTTTTCTGTGGAGATGGTTCTTGGTGCAGCACCCTCAGTACCTTCACTGTGTACAGAGATGCCATTCTGGGAGACAATGCTGCGGGGCAGACTATGGGGATCTTCTCCTGACTTAGTGGATAAGAGGCAGAGGAAACAGAAACATCCCAGGCATATTGTGGCATCAAAATAAAGCACAAGAAAGGCAGAAGAAGCAAAGGTGGGCTGGAGAGAAATAACAGGCCTGTCATCCCAGAGACCCAGGAAGCTGAGGCAGGAGAATTGCAAATTTGAAGACAGCTTTGGCAACTCATTGAGACCCTGTCTTAAAATTAAAAATAAAAGGGCTGGGGATAGAACTCAGTGGTATAGCAACTCGGGTTCAATCCTCTATACCAAAAATCAATAAAAATAAAATAAATAAATAAAAATAAAAATGCCAGTTTCACATTTTGACATTGAAGCCCCATGTCCTCCATGTCCTTCTTACCTGCCCTCTCACCCTTATGCCCAGGGCCTAAGTCAAAGATCATCTCCCAGTTCCCTAAGACCCCAACTCATCCTCAGTGCTCTCCTTCCAGAAGCCTGTTGAGGCTGTGGCTTTATTTCATTTTGCAGAGTAGACAAGACAAATTTGCCCCCAAGAGCCGTTCTCCCGAAAAGCCCTGAGCACCTGGAAGGCCAAGTGAGGTCAGAAAGCCATGGAGGAAACAAGGGTGACTACTCTCTAAAAGGGGCAGCCTATATCCACCCCCTAGAGCATGGCCGGGTATGGGAGTAAAGGCTTTGCTGGGACCTATGAAATCAACTTTGTCACCCTCAACAGTGACTTTTCATCTAAGTATAGATCTGGCTAGACTCTTGAAGGGCTGGCATTGCCTGTAATGTCAATGCCAGACCCAATAGCATCTGATCCTCCCCTGAGGACTCTAACCTGCCTCTACCTACATATAATTTTACAAAGTTGTTAAAAAAAAAATGTCGGTGAAAACAGGTAGGCTGGAAGCCACAGTAAAGCCTGGTAATGTGAGAAGCCCACATGGCTTGGCTTTGGATGGATGTTGAAATGTTGCCCACCTTTGCATGGGTCTGTGCCTGGGTCTTTACCAGGTTAGACCTTTTACCTGGGTCTCTCTCCTAAAGCAAAGACATCTTCAGTGACTCAAAGGAATGCCTGCAGTTATAAGGTCCCACAGTTACAAACCCAACTTCTGCTTTAGGTCAAACTCAACCCTGGACCCAATACATACCACAGGACTGTGGGAAGGTCTTCTAGGGGCTCAGTTTCCCCACCCCTGCTTGGTGAATACTGCTCTTCATTGTGTGTTTGGTGGGGAGATGCCACACTGTCCCTTCTGTGCCCTGGAAGTACTGCCTGATGCCAGATGGCGGGTGCAGGGCACGACCAGGTGCACAGAAATCTGGGGCACCTATGCCACCTGGTGTAGCCCCAGTCTCATGTCTGGAGTCACTGGACAATGACCTGGCTGGGTTGGTATGTGCATGGCTGCCTTGGGCACCTTCCCAGAGTGATTCTGGTCAGAGAGATGCCCACGCCCCCTTCTACCTATGTCTGGATGGAGAAACTGAAAGCGTGGGCTGTCCCGTGCTTTTGTCCTGAGTAGGGGGTCACTGTTCAGCTTCCCCACCCTCTTCCCCTACAAAGCGTCCGGAGCAGGCTTCTCTCCATCCTCCGGCACCCCCCTCCCTCCACCGAGTGCAGGACTGGTCTCAGCGCTGCACATTGCTTGCTTTTCTATCGGGCTTTGTCCCTTGCTCTCTGCCCCCTTCGATGCCCCCAGCGGCGTGCGTTCTGAGCCTGGCGACCCGCCCCTCCGCTCGGCTTACCCGTGCTGGCGGCCCCGGAGCTGGCTGTGCTGCAGCACCAGCTGGTAAGGTGACTTGGCGGGACCTGCCAGGGTCGCGGCGGGACCCAAGGCCAACGCCAGGGCAAGGGCCAGCAACCGCACGAGGAGCGCCATGGAGAGGGAGGACTCGCACCGACTGACGATGCGCGAGCGGGCCACTCCGGGGAAGTGAGAGCGCCCGGCTGCCCGCGCCAGGTTAAGTAAGCCGCGAGCCGAGGGAGCGGCCGCGAGGGGCGGGGAAGCCGGCCGGCCCGGAGCGGGGAGGGCGGGCTGCTGGCGCCTCCCAACCCGCGCCCCCGGGGCTGCGCTCCGCACTCACTACGCCCCCTCTGCCAGCAGATCACTTTCCTCTCCGTTCTCTCCTGCGCTGCCCAGCCCTCCCTCATGCCCTACCTCCGTCTCCTCCCCTAGTCAATTTTGCTCGAGCACAAAGTATGCAGATCCTTGAGACTTGGGCTTCTTGCAAGTGGGGACACTGGGAGTGAGGGGCAACTTTCTCTGAGGCCTGCTTCAAACTTTGTTCTTCCATAAGGGGCCTCAAGTTTTTTTTTTTTTTTTTTTAATTTACTGGGATTTTAGTAGGATTTGCATTAAACTTGTATATCAATTTAGGGAGAACTGATATATTACAGAAGTGTGTTTTCAAATTTCTGAATACATAGAGAGGTTTTCCTTTTCCTTTTTTTTTTTAAGAGAGAGAGAGAGAGTTTTAATATTTATTTTTTAGTTTTCAGCGGACACAACATCTTTGTTTTTTGTATGTGGTGCTAAGGATTGAACCCAGGCCGCACGCATGCCAGGCGAGCAGGCTACCTCTTGAGCCACATCCCCAGCCCAGGCCGCAAGTCTTGAGTCCAAAGATGTCTCAATGATCAGGTTACAAACACTGCAAGAAAGGGGAGGGGGCTGTGCTGATTCCCACAACGCTATGGCCCATCAGAATGGCCTCTGCCTTCCAGACACACCAGTCATGATAATAGAAACATAGATGGGGAGTAAGTCTTCTGATTGTCAGAAGCCTTAAAATGTCGGGCAGGTTTTGTTAGGTGCTAAGCTGCTCTTGGAAACTTGGGGAAGGGTGGAGTCCTTACCTTATTCATCTACCAGTCAACAAACATCTCTGCAGCCTTTGTGGCAGATAAAGATTCAAAGAGACAGAAAAGGCAAGATTCCTGCCCTGAAGGAGCTCAGAGCAATTAAGCAAATGATCAGAGCAATTATGCAAATGGACTAAGGGTTGAACCTTGCCCTTATTAATCACCCATCAGTTACCTGGCATCTCTAGCCCTGGGGAGACAAAGATGGATGTGTGGATGAGACCCAGGTCCTTTGGAAGAAGCTCACAGATGGGCAGATCCCTAGGTCAAGCCAACAGTGTGGCCCAGAGGAGTAGCTTGGGCTTTGTAAGTCCAGAGAAGGCACCTGGTCTGGACAGGAGGTGACATCTACTTTTAGGCCTGAAGCGTGGAAAGGAGTTAGCCAGGCAAAATGAAGCATGTATTTAGGAAACTCAAGTTAGTCAGTTGTCTGAAGCATGAGGACTGGAATCAAGGGTAGGAGTGGAAGGCAGGAGTGTAGCAGGGCCCACCCCAAGTTGAGTCCTACAGACAAAGGGGAAGCTAGCAAGTGCCATGGTCGGTGGGTGTCACTAGCAGGCTTTGGTAAGACCAGATGAGATAAGGCAAGGTGGGAGGAAGGAGGATCAGGTGACCAAGAGGGGATTTTGTGAGAGCATGAACTGTGGTAGCAGAGGTGGAGAGGAAGAGAGGTATCTAGGAGGTAACATGCTCAGGAGGAGACTTAAGGATGAGTATGGTGTTTTTGACTTGAGAATCGTGGTGGAGAGTGGTGCTATTTTTAATATGAGGGACCTGGTAGGAGTGCAAGTTTGCCAGGAGAGGATAAATGGATTGAGGCGCGCTGAGTTTGAGGTGCTTGTGATTCATCCAGATGGAGTATCCCCCTAGGCAGCTGGATGTAAGGATCTGGGTCCTGAGTGAAGGATGCAGGATGGGGATTCACACCTGGGAGTCCTCCTCCAGGACAGCATGTGAAGCTAGAGGTAAGCGATGACAGATGATGGAGCAGAGACTCAGGCCAAGAGCAGTCCATAAAGAGAGAAAGGAGTGCTGATGGTAGAGTGGGCGGAAATGGCTAGTGTGGAGCTGTCAAGGGAGGAGGGAGTCCTAGAAGAGGAAGCTGTTAACAGAGAGGAATGCTGCACACAAGACAGAGTCCAACAGCATCCACTATGTCCGAAACAAAAAGGTCCCTGGGGACTTGGCTGTGCAAAGCAGGATGGCCAAAGCCAGATATGGTGATCGAGTGTAGAGTGTCAAAGGGAAGGAGAGAGTTAGGATGGAAGCCAGAAGAAGACAAGGTCAAGAACACTGATAGAAATAACTGAGAATGAGGAGTCAAAGCCATGGGAGGGAGCGAGGTAATGAGTGAGGGATGAGGAGCAAGATGAGCCTGGAGCAGAGGGGTTTAGGTGCTGGAAGAAGAGTGGGATCTTCAGAAAGATATTGAAGGACTGATTAGAAGAGTAGAGTGAGTGGAGGGGCATGGACAGGTTTAGGAAAGACTTTAGTCATAGCACTGACTAGACTTGGAAGCTCTTTGGACATGGAGACTAAGGGACAGGGATTGAGATAACTGGGAGGCTCATGACTGGGAAACTGGATTCATCCACAGGGTGCCTTGGTGAAGGTTCACATTTGAGTGCATGAGGGCAGTGACAAGCCTCCAGCATTTCCAGGTGGACGAACTGGATGGGAGACAGCTGCATTCACTGGTCTGCAGCTCGGGAGAGCTGTGAGAATTGAAGAAGCCGATTTGAGTCTCCACCACTAGAGGTGGTTTCAAAAGCCATGAACTGGATGAGCTCCGTGGGGAACATGTGTTGGAATAGAGGAGGAGAAATAGTGAGAAGAAGAGGAAAGGATGATTGGCAGAGATCTAGGGAGGATTTTCTGATGTAGAGAGGATGGAGACGTTACGAAGGTTGAGAGGCAGGCAGAAAAAGGAACACTAAAGGGACAGAGAGGTCCAGGGAAATCCAGAGAGGCCATAGAGGAAGAGAATTTCAGAGAACTACCATCATTACCAGGTGGTACACAGAAATCAGGCTGGACCATATCAGTGAGTTGTTTCTAGCACTTGGTTGGCACTCAGGAAACAAAAGATTACAAGGCTATAAAAAGTTTCCTGGAACATTCGAACACTAGCCGGTATCTTTTGCATTGAAGACTAGAGGATGTTCTGGAATGGCTTTGACTTTGGGGAAACCCACATCCTTCCCTGATGCTCTCCTGGTCTCCTTCCTTACCTCATCTCCCCCACAGAGAGACATTTATTCCCCTGGCTACATATGGGGTCCAGTTCCAGTGCTAGGGTCTTCTGCCATAATGGGGGTTAATGTTTCCTTTGTTCTGTCTCTGCCCAGGTGGGATTCACTGCTTGCTGGTGAGGACTGTTGAGTACAAGGTTTGGTCTACACTAAGTGGATTTTCCCTAAAGCAACTTTCTGAGAGAGGAGGATGCTTCTCTTGCTGGATTAGTTCTGGGCTTGGACTCCTAGGAGTTAGCCCTACTTTATCTGTGAATCATTTCCCTTATTATGGTATTCATCATCGTTTTTCTTTGTTTTCTTGAAACCTCCAGGGATACTGGTGATTTCTACATCAAAAAATCCTATTTGCTGACTTTCTGCTCAGCCAGTGGATCCTGCAAAGAGAGAAGTGTCCCTGGCCATGACCCCACGCGCCACATCAGGTTGGATGGCAGCTAAGATTCTGAACCGTGAAGGTGGGCTTGGCCAGGGTGAGGGTCTGAAACACAGTGTGGCCTCCGTGAGGCATCCAAATATGAGCTGATGTTAAAGTAACATCAGGGTGGTCCTGGCCAGGGTAGGACAAGAAATGGAAGTTTCTGGAATGGATGTGTGTTCAAAGGGGAGAAAGCAGCTTTTGGCAATGTTGCTACATGGTTCTGTTAGTCAGTATTGCATCGCTGTGACCAAAATACCTGACAAGAACAACTTGGAGGAGGCATAGTTTATTTTGACTCGGGGTTTCAGGGGTTTAGTCCATGTTTGGTGACTCCATTATTCCCCAAGGTGAGGCAGAACATCACAGCAGAAGGGCAGCAGAGGAAAGCTTCTCTGCTCACGGCAACTGGGAAGCAGAGAGAGAAAGGGAAGGGCTTCATGAAATATGCACCCTTCCAGGATGCACCCTCAATTACACAGCTCCTCCACCCATACCCCACCTACCTATAGTTATCACCCAGTTAGTTCTTCAAACTATTTAGATTAGGTTATAGTGCTCACAAGTCCATCATTTCACTTCTGAACACTCGTGCAGTAACACAGGAGCTTCTGGGGACTCCTCATATCCAAACCATAACAATAGTTTAGATTTACAGCTTGGATCCCCCAACCAGGTTCCAGTGACGAGGCAATGGCATTGGCGTAGCAAAGTTGTTGAGTGCCAACTCTTTGCGACGGGTGATGTGAGTTCCAACACCAATCTTGTTACTTTCTAGTTATGCAGCCTTAGGTGGATTATTCAGCCTCTCAGAGACCATGATAAAGCCTACTCCACAGGACTCTAGGGTAGGTTGTATGATGTAATTCAAGTACAATGGCCAGTCATTTGGAATTGCTATTGTTATTCCTTTTCCCCAGTAACTGTTCTGTAATACAGAGCTCAATGAAAAGATATGATACTTTAGCAACTATTGAAACAATGATCTGAAAGTGCTCATTTGACTGACTGAAAGCAAAAAGCTTCTCTGTTTGAAACTGAATGCTTGGTCTAGGACACTGGAAGGCACTCGAAGAGACTCAAGCTCGTGGTTCATACTGGAAGATGTTTCCTAGGACCAGGAGAACTGGCAGCATCACCATTTCTAGGGAAGATAGATGCTTCTTGTAGGCAAGAGGCTAGGAAGCATACCGTTCAATCCTCACTCCCCTCCAGCAAGATGGAGGGGCTCCAGGCAAGTCAAGTAATCTCACTGGACCTCACTCCCCTCATCTGTAAAACGAATGCTTGATGACTTGAAATTTTCCATGAGCTCAGTAAAGAGATCACAGTAATACTTCAGTTACTGTTTAGATATTTAAAAAAGTTCCACTCCATGCTCCACCACCCACCCCCTCTCCAAAACCATAAAAAGCAG